AAAAATACTGGAAAGGTCCCTATCAGTCACGTGTGGCCGCCTATTAAGAAGTCAAGTCAGTCACAATATTGATGAATGCACACAGAAACATTCACAGATGTATTTTAGGATTTATATGGAAATGTTTTGTTGTATATAAATGTATATAAAATCCACAAGACACGCAAATATTTCTGGTTTTCACATAAATGCATGTATTTAAAGGATTCAGTGGCATATAGAGGTGAAGATAAGATAAGATAAGATCATTCCTTTAATAGTCCACAATGGGGAAATTCCAATCTTACAGCAGCAAAGTGGATAGAGAAAAAAACAGTATAAAGACAGTATAAGAACAGTATGAAATAAAATAATATATATGAAATATAAACACTGTACAAGAGAGAAAAAAACAGTAAAAAACCACAACAGATAACACAATAACACAAATACTAGCAGCAGTTGTGAAGTTGTAGTGAAGTTGCAGATTACAACTACTGAACACAGCTCAGCCTTCCATGAACTTAATTCAAATGTACTTGCAATCCATGCATATTTCAGAGGATGATCGCAAACTTGCTAGTGTCGCTATAGAGGAACTATCAGGAGATCACCATTATTATTAGGGAATGTGTGTACCCAGTTTAATGAAAATCCATCCAGTAGTTGCAGAGATATTTCAGTCTGTACCAAAGTGGTGGACCGACCAAAAGACCGACATTGCCATCCCTGGAGCCATGCCGCTAGTGTGGCTAAAAATACAGGACCTGCCTTAAGCTAAGGCCTTAAATTAATTTCACACACACAAATTAATTGGCGCACAGTAAACCTGGGGCATTCAGGACCTCAGAGAATCTGGGTCTTTGGGGCAGTTGAGACAGCTTCTCCAATTTATACTATTTTTTAAGCCCTATCATTAAAAAAAAGAATTATTATTTCATACTAAAATACTAAATAAAGGCACAATCCATGACCCAAGTAGAAAAGGTGCAATGTGATAATAAGGCAGGTTTTTCACACTTGCCCTACATTTTGCTTTCTTTCTTAACCTCTCACCTTTATTTGAAAACTCAAAGTCATTAGAGAATATTCCATAGACAGTATGTAACCCTGACTCAATCTTGATCCTATGCCAAGTGGAGCACTGATACCATAAAGTATAGTTCATATTGCAGCAGACCCACAGCTATCCTACATTCCTATATTATGTAGTCATATATTTGGATTAAAGGCCATGTTTTTAACCCAGAGCATGAATATTTTGTACATTGTACATTATGTATGTATGACATACATTACTTCACTTTATACCTGCACTCCATTATATTTCAGGAGAATACGTTGTAGTTTTTATTAGTTTTTGTTTGTCTTAAAACGTATGCTGAAAGAGTTTTTGGTTGATGCAATTGTTCCTCCCGTTCACACTGGAGATCCCTCTCTAATGTGATTTTAGTGTTAAGTGATGGTGTTTTTCCCTTTCTATGCAAAAATGTATTTCCATTTAAAGTTCACTGTTTGGAAAAGGGCAGACACTTTCAAAAATACTTAGCAGGTGATTGGATGAACCATCGCTTGAATGCACAATGTGAATCAACGTGACCTCTTTGTTTGAACACACTTTGCCATAAATTTTTATAAAACTGTCAATGTTCAAAATCTAGGCTACACGGTTGATTTCTTACTAATATCAAATATTCTCATAAGTGATACTAGTGGTGAAAAAAAAACCACACAAAAATAATAAACAACTGGCTAGAACCGTCCACCTCGTAGTCCGCCATTGACAAGTCTGAAGAGGCTCAATGCATTTTGGGCAATTTATGTGTAGCAAGCTCACGCCGCATATTCAGAAATTCTTCCTAATCTTGTATACATCCGGGCATATATCGCATACACATTCACATACTAGATGAAATGCACTACATATGGCTCATTGTAAGGTAACGAAAACACAACTACACACTGGTGATTACACACTGATCGAAATTATATTCCATTTCTGCCAATAGAGCGAGAGAGATATTACAACCTTGACCTTTTTTTTTTGCCATGAAGAGGAAAACTGATTAAACTGACCAACAGTGCTCTTAATGAGGATTGCTTTGAGACTACTGCTTTGAAAAACTGTGAACCTATCTTTTAACAATGTTTATAACTTTATAGCCTGTAAGCAGTTGATAATGCTGAGATAGAAATATATATACTAATTCTATTG